TAGATCTATTGTGGATATCCTTGAATCTTTATTTAGAGTACCTTGTCTAATTCGGTCTTTTGTAGTAGACTCACTCCGTAGACTGGGAAGTAGTTCTTCGGTATAGCTAGTTGCCCTTGGTTTTTCTTCTTTAAGTGTAAGGAATCTCAGTCTTGCTAGACCTTCGCAGTAGCACAGTACTGCCGTTTTCTCCTCTTCCTGACAGAATCGGCACAAGGTCTCTTCTGTCAGACCGATATTATTCATATGTTTGTTAAGCCTACAATGCCCTGTTAATAGACCTACTAATAGACCTACTAATACTCTAGTATTTTTCCTATTAAGGCTTAGTAGATGATCGGTGAGTTTAGGCGATGGTCCTTTTAAGAACTTTTTGACCTGTCTCTGTCCTGGAGAGTTTTTCCACCACTCCTGAAATTTTTTAAACATCCACTGCTTTGTGCATGTTCTCATAGTTGTTTTTGTTACACCACAGGAGGGTTCTGGGCCAATAAGAGCATTTGCGGCTCCTTCTCGGGCTAGTAAATCAGCCTTTTCATTACCCTTATGTCCTCTGTGGGCTGGTACCCAGGCTAAGGTTAGTCTGTTTTGACTACCCAGCTCTGTTAGGGCTTCCAAACAGTCCCACACAAGCTTTGAGTGTACCTGCATGGAACTGAGTGCCTTTAATGTCGCTTGACTGTCTGAGTATATATGACAATGGTTTTTCCATTTACCTTCTGTCTTAATACCTCTTTTGCGCAGTGATGTATTGCTGCTATTTCTGCCTGGAATACTGTTGCATGTTTACCTAAGCTCAGTGAGATTCGTCTTTGGCTTGGTACTATATATACCTACTCCTGAACCTTAATGGGTTTTGGAGCCGTCTGTATACTAGGTGAATTCTGCATGAATAGGAGATCCTCCCGTCCACTCCTCCCTGTCTGGTATACTTACTTTATATTGCTTTTAAAAGCTATACTTTGGGAGCATTTCATCTGAAGGTATTCCCATTATTTGGTCGTTCTCCAACTCTTTATATAGCTCTCTGTAGTCACGTCCATGCGAACTGCTTATGGGTGAACCTTTGTGCAGTTTGTATGTGACAGACCTGGCTTCGCCTTAAATGAATATATGTAGTGGGGTTAGGTTTAGCATGACTTCTATAGCTGCTGTTGGAGTCGTTCTCATAGCTCCCGTGGTACTTAGGCATGCTTGCCTTTGAGTACCATTGAGCTGTCGAATGGCTCCAGCTTGCCTAGTCTTTGATCACCATACCACCGGCCCGTAGGTTATCATCGGCCTTATGACTATGGTATATAACCATAGGAACATTTTCGGTTGTAGTCCCCAATTTTTTTCACACAACCTTCGACATAAGTTGTGCTCTTTTGGGTGACTTTGTGCAAGTGTTGATTTCATGTTAACCTGTGGTCAAAGATTTGGCCTCTTGAGCAAATGGAATCTTCACTCCTTTCAGTACTGGTGACTTTGGTCTTGTTGGTACTTTTCGTTTTGTAAAGTTGACTATTATGGTTTTGTGAGGGTTTACTGTTGATTTTAGTTACTTAACTTAGTTTGGCGTATGCAAAAAAACTTATTTTTAGGTTTATCACATTTCGGTAAATCGGGAGGGAAAATAATACTACTTGTTAATTACATAATTTACTGCTTAATTATAAAAAAATATAAGACAATTTGGTATCTTATAATAAACAAATATATTTTTAGTCATCATCTTCGTTTTCTCCGTATTTCAAATTCTTGTAATAGTCATGAAATCTCTTTGGTACCCGTTTCAGAATGTTTGTAAATGTCTATATTTTTTATCTGAAAATGGTTTGTGCCTCTCCGTATAGGAATGTAGTCATTTAGCTCGTTTCTTCTATGCCAGTAAGCTTGTTTCTTCTGTGAAAGTCGAATTCTAAAAAAATATGTACTAAAAAGCGGATTTATACTAGAGAATTCCAGAATTACTTTTCCCAACTTGCAGAAAATCGTTGCCTGTGTTTGTTGCTTGCGCTTGTTGATATTTGGTGTTGTTGATCTCTCAAAAAGATGTTTAAATTCTTTAAAATCGACTTGTCCTAGAAGACCAGGGATCACGTCTTGAAACAGGCATTGTAAATAGAAATTGTACCAAACAAAAAACTCGAACGGTGGAGTTAACATTATAAACTAAACGCAAATCCAGAGGAAAATAAGGTTAGCACTACTTAAGGAGATCTGTGGACTTAACTTAGTTTAAATTGAGCTATTTTTGTTATTTTAAAAGATACGCCAAAATGGAAGATACCAATTGATGCGCCGCAAAATTTTCAGTCACGTAACGTATTTAGCTAAAATTGGTCCAATTTGGATTTAACATAGTTTATCTCTGGGGTACATAAATGTATTATTTTTCAAATGCGATTGACTTTAGTGATATCTCTCCTGCATAAAGCTACCAGTGGTGTAGCCAGCCTTGCGGGGCGGAGGGGGCATACATTTAAAGGGGCGTAACATTTTTATTTGCTAGAAAAAAATAACACCCTGTATATTCTAAAATATTTTTAATATATGTCTTTTTCAAATCCATATAACTTTTAATTCAAAACTTGTTTGTGTATCAATAACACAAATTGATTTATCGAGCAACTAAGCACTAATTGGACATCCTGTATAATATATGAATATTCTCACGTAATTTATTACTATTTCTAATAGCATTCGTATAATAATTATTGTTCAGCGTTATTTCAAATTTTTTTTTGTTGTAAATTTTGGAATCGTATGCATGTCGCTAAAACGTGATATTTTATCAAGAAGTTTACTAAAACAAAAAAGCATACGTTTATTAATTGTTTAAAGTGCATCGATTATTTTACGACCTATTTTAGCATATGCAAATATCTTAAACATTTTCGAAATGTATACACAAATTTTTTTACGCGCATATTTACCCAATACTTTCCCATAGTCTAAATGCGTACATTAAATAAGGGTTCCCAGTAATTACAAAAAAAGTACATGTACATAATTGTTCTTCAATATTTTTTTTTACATGTTCAATTAACAATTTTGGGACGTATTATACGAAAGAGGCGTATGCAAATTATTTTCCGCGGTATATTTTTTTAAATTTTAACAAAAAACGATTTGCATGCATTTTGTAATTACGGAATTATCCATTTTCAGTAAAAATTCAAATTTCCTTGGTGACGCCGCTGCATGCGAGCCATCGAGAATTCTATCTCAATGATGCGAGCACTCTTAGAAAATTGGCTAAAACATGTTAGAAATCTATAATAAGCATAACTTAACAGATGTATACATTAAAAACGTTGCACTTTCAAATTATTGATTTTAAAACCGAAAAAGGTTTATTTTTATTTGTTTTCTTTTCTTTTCGCATTGATAATGAATTTTTCGAAACCAGTTTCATATTGTTCAATATTATGCAACTGGTTGTGTAAAATAGATCATTTTGACACTTGCTGCGATTATAAAAAATGTCACTTATGTCAAAATTAGAAAAAATAATATTGGAGGCATTTCAAACAAATACGGTGTTGTTTTTTAAAAATATGTTGCCAAATATTTTTCAATTTCAATTAATGTTACAGGGTGTTGTAACAACCACCGTCACTTACAAAGTAACTGCTGTCACTAAATAACAATATAGTGGCCAAAAGGCCTCTAGTCATCAACCGGGGGTACACTGTAAGTGTAAAGGCAGCGACTGTCACCAGTCACAGTCAGGGGATAAGGTCCTTAGAGCTTATCCACTCACACCGTGACAAAAAAAGTAAAAAGATAAAAATTTAAATAATAGGTTTAAAAATAAAAGATTTTCCCTCGTGATGAATAGTGCGAGCGGGTTAAGGAAATGGTTTGGCAAATTGACAATAGGCACCTATAGTCCTTACTCGGGAGTAGGTTCGCCGGGGCTTCGCAAAAGTGCCCGGAGTGTCTTTTGACAAAAGGGGAAGGTAGACCTTGATGAGGATGGAATATATATTCCACAGTTATGTATGTATTGGTTAAGAATTAAAAGGAACACCTAAATAATTATTCAATTATCGAACTCTGGATTTGATTAGATAGCTTATATGGACTAAGGGTTGTTCCTCTTTATGGAACTCGGGCTGAGCTCAACAACTCTTAACACACATAAGATAAAAACAGGTGAATGTTTAACAACTCAATATATTTAACTAAATATATTTAAACATGTAAGAATTTTAAATATGAAAAAAAAATATATCAAATAATATCTTGTTTTTAGAGGTACAAGACCCACCTTGAGGTTCTTGCCTGATTCGGTAAATCAGCTGACGATAATAAAGTAACGCTAACTACTATAAGAATAAATGGCAAAACGTGTCAGAAATCTCGTTGGATCTTCTAGCTACCAAAGTCAAAAAAATAAACTATATCACTTCCCATAAAATCTACTAAATATTTTGGCAAAATGAAAAGAGAACTGTCACAATTTTAATATAGTGAAAGAGGAAGGCTTAATTTGCTCGAAACGTGGTTTCGATTTCACTAAGTTTAAAATTGGTTGGCTGATATTTATTATTTAATCACAACTTTAAAAATTACTTTAAAATTCCCGAAATACGCCTTATCGGCGTCGGTGAGTAGTCGGACAGCGTAACGCTTGGCCAATCAGTAACTGTGTCTTCCCCTCGTTCTCAGATCATTTAAAAATTAGTTGAGACGTGATTTCTTTGAAATTTTTGATCAACTCATATATTTAATTTACTTTGATATTGTAATAACTGTTATTAATATTTCTAGGTCAAATGAATGAAAGTACTTGAAAATTTATATGAGATTTTTATGTAAAATCTTTAAAAGGGGGCGGGAGGGGCAAGCGCCTCCCTGGCGCCCACCTCGCTACGCCACTAAAAGCTACCACTAGACAGTTGGTAGTAATCGTTGTAACTTGATATTTGAAATTAAGAATTTCAGGCATATTTTATTTGTTTCATATTTGTTTTACTATGTTACTAATATTTTTGTTTGATTTTCAGACAAAGATGGCAAAGAATACATCGCCAGAGGATGTCTTCCCCCAGCTACTATCGGTTGTGCTGCCATCTCAAAAACAATAGGATGGATCTCCTCCCAAACAAGTGACGATCCAGAAACTCTCCAAAATTTGAGCTGCGAAACCTGCGAAACAGACAAATGTAACTCAGCCAGCAAATTGGCTGGATTTACACTTGTAGGAATTATATTGTCGTCAGTAGCTTTCATGTTGTAAACGCTGTACTTAGTTGGTTGTTTTATGTAACTCTGCAATTTTTTTAGCTCTGTTTAAGTAAAAATGCGAAGAAATTTTATTGAAATGTTATTCGGTGTTTGTCAAAAAAATGTGAAATTAGTTTACAAACTAAAGCAATAAAAGCTTCCCGGAAATTGGTCAAAAACATAGACCAAAAATTACTTAGAGAATTACTATTTTGCTCATATTCGATGAAATTTATACATTTTTTATTGTAATAGAGAAATTTATAGACTACTGAGTAGAGGTTAATCCCATTTTAGCCGGTTTATAAATTTCAATGGTTTATATTCCTGAAATATAACATCATACAAAATTGAGTAATATTGAATTGAATTATTGGATTTAACCTTTAATAAACTTATTTTGACCAATTTTGTGGAAATCTCAATATTGTAAACCTCTACAAGTAGTTGTGTTAGATGTAAATTATATTTTGAAAGCACCTAGCGCTGAATTGCAAAAAATACACTTTTTATAAAATATTTTTGACTAATATACTGGAAATATAGCTATTTAAAATGTATTCTTATATAAATATTTTGTGAAATTAAAATATATTTTACAACGATAAACTAAACAATTAATTTTAACAGTAACTTACCACTAGTTAAAATTAATTTCCTATTTAAAAATATGTCTTCTTGAGTGCATTTATAAAATATATTTCCAAATTTTAACTTTATACAAAGATTATTGTTACGGGTTACATACAATAAATAATAAGCGTTTATTTTATTATCTGTGAGATGGGATCAGAATAAAATATAGTTTTGATAAGAAAATAGTTACTGTTTTTAAAATATATCAAATTTTATATAAAATCTTTAAAGTTCAATACTATTTTTTGGCAGTTCCATCATTCAATCAAAACATTCCTTGCTTTAAGTGTTATTAAATAAGTAATAGTGATTTAGTCTTATAATGTAGTAATTTAATGTTAAATAAACATCAATACCTACAAAATCTGAAAGAGAAAAATATTTAGATTTGCTTCAGTTCAATCTTATTTATTGGCTATTTCATCATTGAATCAAAACATTCCTTGCTTTAAGTGTCAATAAATAAGTAATAGTGATGTATTCCTTAATGTACTGTTAAATGAAAAAAGTACCTAGGTACAATTTCTCAGAAGAAATTATTTAGTTTTGCTCCACATTTTTTATTTACATGTGTAAATGTCAATTTTTCAGGCCAAAACACTCCAGTTCATATTTGTAATCACAATGTAGATTTATAACAAGTTCTTTCTACCCAAGTGTTACCATTTTGTACATTTTTTCATGTATGGTTTAGTTAAGCTTTTCGCCATGTATGTGAAATATAGAAATACATTTTTAAAGTAAATTATTTTTATTTATTTATTTATTTATTTATTTATAATAGATTCGTTTTAGTTTAATGATATTGGTAGAAATGTCAATATGTAACATAAACAATTAACACTGAACTCTAATTATTGTACAAAGCAGCAAATATCCCGAGCGATTCGGTGATTGAATTCCCTTGCGCCCTATAGCGGCTATGCACATTCAGATTTTAATAAATGAATAGTCATCTTTTTTTATAAGAAATAATTCTACAAAAATTAATAAAAATTATGAAACTAACACGGCCAATTGTTGATTGCAGAGCATTGACTGTGAACTGTAATTATTTAGAATTATTTATTGTAAAAATAACTATATGAACATAACAAGTGATTGACAAGCGTGTTTCAAAATTATATTAATTATTTTTAAGTGTCACTTCAAAACCTCTAGAAATCAATCGTTCTTAGATGGCATAGGCGTAGATATGCCCCCGGCCTTGAAGGAATCCTTTCAACAGGGCATAGGGAATAGGGCAAATTCTGGGGAAGCTTCTTTTGATTAGACCATCTACTGTTCGAATTGTAGCTACTCTTGGTATTTTATCACTTGCATGATGTAGTTTCTCGATTCTACCAAGAGGCCATTGAGTTTGAGGTTTTATTCTCTTTGATGAGCACCATCGTTCCCTCCTGAAGAAGGTCGGAGTTGTCCTTCCATTTCGTTTAGTTCTGGAGACAGGAAACATACTCCTTTGTATATCGATTCCAAAAATGCTGACAAAGCCGCTGGACCAATTGAAATCTAGTCAGGCGATTGAGAGATATATCGGTGACATCTTCATCCGATCCAGCCGTTTACGGTTTACCAATAAGGAATTGGCCAGGTGAGAGTGGATTTAGGTCGTTAGGTTCGGTGATTCGGGAATCAAGAATCGCTTCAATTTGACATAGCATAGATGATAATTCCTCGTAAGTTAAACATGCATTATAAATAACTCGCTTTAAATGGTGCTTAGTACTTTTTACACCGGCCTCCCACAGACCTCCAAAATGGCGAGAATATGCAGGTATAAACTCCCATTCTATTGCCTGCATTGCGAAAAAATGTTGTAATTTATTTTGGTTGGATTTTAAGATTGAGTTCCTTCTTTGTTCCAACAAATGTTGCGCCATTATCGGAAAAAATCTTGTTAGGTTTACCTCTGCTAGAGATTAACCCCCTCAGAGATAGTATAAATGATTGGGAAGTCAAATCCGAAACTAACTCCAAATGAATTGCCTTTGTGGCAAAGCATATAAATAATGCTATACAGGGTGAGTCGGGAGGAGCACACCAAACTCGAGTATATTATACACGTGAAAATAATGTAAAAAGCTCATATGTTCTTATCCGATTTTCATTTGTTTTCAAGTTATAGCATATTAACAAATTTACACAAAAATTCTCTTAATCATAGCGTTCTTTCAATAAACGTCAGAATTATCAAATGCCTTTGAGCCTAAAACATATGGCATACTTTGATAATGTTAAAATTCAGAAATGTTTTTAATTACGCCATAACTAAAAAACAAATGAAAATCGGATAAGAACATGAGTTTTTTACATTATTTTCACGTGTATAATATACTCCTAGAGTTTGGTGCGCTCCTCCCGACTCACCCTGTATATGCCTTTATACCGTGAGAACCGCGACCCTTTTTGTTCTTTATAAAAACAGGACCAGCATAATCAACACCTACCACAGAAAATGGGCTAGAAGGGACGACACGTTCAGAAGGTAAATTACCCATTATCGAGTTCGTTTTAAAATGAAAACACCTCAAGCAATTGTGAACTATAGACCTTGCTAGATTACGCCCCTTTATTGGCCAATAAGTGTCACTGATATTGTATAGAAGTGATTGGGGTCCTGGATGTAGCAATTCCTCATGCTTAAATTGAAATAACAGCTTTGTAAAATGATGTTTAGAGTCTAGTAATATTGGATGTTTTTTTATTGAAGAGATAGTAAGAATGTTATGGGTCCCAATTCGAAATGGTCTAGCTTAATTGTTCTATAGCCCCCAATTTCTTGATTAAGTTATCCACTAAGGATTGCAAATTTTCGGATGTAGCCCTATGTATTGAATCTATAGAAAACAAAGTTTTCAAAAATAAGTTTTTTCTTATTGTCGTACCGATTGCATAGAGTTTTCCAAGCTACGCAATAATTTGCCGAAGTGTATTTAATACTACATATAGCATTCTTTGCCTTGCCTTCTAGCGCACCCCTAAGGTAATAAAATTTTTGAGTGTCTGACATTTGATTTCTAGAATAATTAAGACACTCAAAGATGTCCTAGAACTACAACCAATTTTCATATGTGTCATAAAATTTTGGCAAAACTATATCTGGTAGTTTTATATCTGGGGCTGATGACGAATGAGAATCGTTGCAACTGCCAATTGGAATATTAGTATTAGTACTACCAGCATCTTGATTATAATCCTTTATTATAGTTTTAGCTAACGATGTAAAAACATAAAATTTATCTGTAAAATTTACCTTTTCTTCTAGCAGCTCCTCCGAATTATCAAGAGCTTCAATTTCGTATTGAATTTCATTAAATTGTGTTAATAAATTTTGTGAATGTTCAAGTCGATCTTGAATAGAAATAACATTGGTTGAATTTATAGATAGCAAACCTTTAACGTTATTAAGAAAATTTCCAAAAATAGCTAAGGATGATTTTATAAAACCTCTTTTTCTTTTTAATTTTGCAAGTTCTGCCATGAGGAATTATCACCTATTTATTGAAACTTTGTAATAAAGGAGTAAAAAAGGTTGAAACGCGCTTATAGATAGGATGTGGGAAAGAGTTATAGGAACGACTCACCTCCTTATGGTTTACCGAACCATTGTACGTCTTCTATATTATGTAACTGTTAAATATCCGGCTCGAAGGACCAATGTTGATTGTAGAGTATTGACTGTGGACTGTAATTATTTAGAATTCTTTATTGTAAGAATAACTATATGAACATAAAAAGTGATTGACAAGCGTGTTTCAAAATTATATTAATTATTTTTAAGTGTCACTTCAAAACCTCTATAAATCAATCGTTCTTAGATGGCATAGGCGTAGACACCAATCCTGTGCAAGACTTCGTTCTCGAAGTCTGATTTGATTTTCGTTCAAGTGTATCACTGGAATAATAAAGCTAATACGTTCTTATTTACTTCAATTTTAGTATTTTTGTATATTCATTGATTGATAAATATAACGTAAAAACGATTCATATATGTAACTAACAGTTTTAACCAGAATGTCTTAAACTACGATACATTTAATGATTTCCCACAATAAATAAAAATATTTAAAATATCAGATTTATACACAATCCAGCACACAAGGCATCCACGAAATAAAATTATTAGTTAAATATTATGAAAACAAAAGCAAATCTCCAAGATTCTAGTACAAACATGCACAGAATTCTTATTTTCAAATCTATAGTGAAAAGGCCTACAAGCTTTCTTATACAAACAAGCATCTTGCTATCAACTTTTTCTAATCAACATAGATCGTCCCAGCTTTCAAAGTTTCAACTGTGTAAAGTGTACAAACTTTCAATACAATTAACGTAAGCTCAAAACATTTCAATACAAATGAAATTAACGCAAAGCGTACATAATTTTAATATTTTAACAATACAAATCGTAAAAGCTTTCAACACAAATAAAACAACCGCAAAGAGTAGAAGTTTTCAACACTACAAAGAGTACAAGCT